GAAAAAAAAAAATGAAAGTAAAATAGAAAATACATTCCAACGTTAAAAAATGAGAACTTCGTTACGCCAGGATCGAAGTTTAATTTTTAATTTCACATTTCTTGTGTTACAACACGGGCTTGTATTAGCGAGAAGCTGTTCGAAATAAGTCGGAATCAATCAAAGGCACGAATTAGTGAACGATGAAATACCCTGTAATTTTACAAACAGCAACAAAAGAAGAAAAAATCTCGAAAAGCAAATGGCTCGTTGTTAATGATACAATGGCGGATGGATAAAAATTGGTAGGAAAGAAGAAACAGGAGCCTTGAGCATGGCAAGAAAAAAAAAACACCCTGAAAAAGAAACAAGTTATAATGATTTTTGAAATAGAGATTTCAGCAATTAAGAGGAAACAAATTTGTGAGTTGTGGGTGTGAGAGATCGAAAAAAGAAAGTGGGAATTGCAAACTACTTCGATGTTTGATTGGAAGAAAACATTAACATTTAAAGACGCCGAGTGAAAGGAACCCGGCATGGAAGATGCTCGAAAATTTTCAGAAGCGTATTATGACGAAGTGAACCGAAAGAAATCAAAGAAGAGACATAAGCAAAAAAGGTTCAGTCATCATTACATCATTTGTTTAGACATATTCATCAGTCTTTTGGTTTAATGCTTAACCTTCGTATCCGAAAAAAAAAAGGGGGTTGTCAAATGTACGTTTATTCCTTTGACACGGCTATTACTGTATATATATTTTGCATCTTCGGCAATGTTTATTTACAAGATTATAAAAATTTGTAAACCAAATACAATCCGATATATATATTACCATAAATTGAGGGCGTACATGTCGACCTGGCGTAAAAGTCGACCACAAGAGTTTTAACTCAAAATGCTAAATTAAGCCTATACTTAGCGTATAGGTCGATCCCCACCCCGCAAACAAACGGTAGGCTTCCAATGGCCCCAAAATAAGTCCTACCGTCCTATGAAGTATATTGTATGTTATATATAAAGTACAGTGTATGTATGTGTGTTTGTGCGTGTGTGTTCAAGCAACTCCTCCGCTCCCACTAGTCCGATTTCAATGATTCATAGCTCATTCAAAAGCCCCAGAAAAGTTAGCCACAGTGAACGATTTTCGTTGAGCTCAGATTCAGATTCAGCTTTGCCAGATTATGCGAGGTTAATATATATATTAATATATTATATTCCATAATATAGGTTTACTTAATTAGCTATTATGTTTCTCTAACTCTTCAAATGTTGAATGTATAACTAATTCTAATTTCTGTTTTCTCATCTTTACACTATATTAATTTTATCTTATAAATTGTCCCCTGTTCTGTGACCCATGAAATAAAAAAGAATTGTTTGTACGGAAAATAAGGATCTACGTACATCAATTCATCTTTAAATTAAGTGGCAGCAGAAGAATTATTGTTGAACTTTTAAAAGAAGCTTAAAATATATTCAATACTTAAATGCAACGATCAGTTTTGAGTTCTGTAGTTTATTGATGCCTATCGCATCTACTCCTCCCAAGCTATTGCGACGATGGCCAAACCAAGAATCCTCGACAAAAGCTAACTTAATTGCCGCCCTATGGAGCGACATTTAAGCAAGTATTCAATAGGCATTACTATAATGAAATACGGGCACCTCGAGGCGGTGTAATGGTTAGCAAGCTTGTCTCGCTAGAACAATTAGGACTGAGTCATGAGTTCGATCCTCATTGGGTGCCACGTACTTTCGGTCTTGTGCCACATTTAAGCTATGCTTGGAAAATCGCTACTATAATGAACTGGCGCAGATGACATGCGTACCGTATTTACTTTTCAGAATGAACGACTGAGTTAAACATCGCTTTTAGTGTTTACACATCGTCTATCAGCTGTTGAACGTAATGTTTGCTGTAGTGATAATAGATTGCTGAATTTATGTTACTATTTTATTGTGTTATATTAATTTATATGTTAATATGACACATATGTTCTCCAAATACAAGTTTTAGTGGGATATATTCGTGGCAGCCAGCAGCAGGTACGGTGTTGGAAAGTAAAGACATGAGTGCCGTAATTCTTTAAGGCCCTAGATGCACCACATGCTATGCAGCTGTAAAAGCACTCTTGTGTCTAAGGTAAGATAGTCTGTTGGAGAAGATCCCTTTTAAAATCGGTTTGGAATTCAGACTTTCCTTTCTCCGTTATTGCTTATAACCTGAAAGCAAGAGAGTGATTGATTTTTTACGACTTATCAACTCATTGCAAGTTATTTAAAGCTATAAAATATTTTTAGATTGTGAGAATATGGTTGTGGAGGGGTAAAAATGACTTTTTACTGATACAAGTTCTCTTAATTAACCCATAGATGGTGCAAGGCCTCATCATTTTACAGTTGATTAATAACTTTCTTAAAAGCACGTAAGCAAATATAACGAACCCAACTGAAATTGTAACTCGGCTCCCGGATTTCCAATTCCGAGCCGTTATCCATTATACTAACTACACATGCAAGCTTACAGCACCTGGTACTGCCAATTGGTCACTGATCTAGGTACTGACCAGACTTGACGTGGCTTAACTTCAGTGATTGTACGAGAACCGGTGTTTCAATGTGATATGTTCGTAAATCTCAAGGAAAAAAGATAGGAACAGATCTTGTCCGGAATTTCTCTGAAAGAGAACGATAACACCGGTCGCACATCAAAATAATTACTTCATGATTCATAATGTGGTGCAATGGTCAGCAAGCTGGTTTCGCTAGATCAATTACAACTGTATAGTGAGGTCGATCCTCACTGGGAGCCTCATACTGTCGGCTTTGTCAAATTAAATTTCGAATATTATACAAAAATATATTTTTGATAAAAAAAAAGTTTGTGTCCAAAGGGGCGCTAGTTGAAAAAATATTGGAAAACACTGTTCTAGAGAGAAGACAGTCAAAATTAAAAAGATTCGGATTTCTTCACGCACACGAATTATATATGTTTGTAATAGTAAATATTTTTTTTTTAAATTGAATGATGCGTGTGTCCGCTTTTATTAGAAAGCTGTCCACTAGTAAAAAGCCAGAATCACTGAGACAGTTCGACAACTGAAAGGTGTTAAGTATTTAATCAAAAATTTTAAAATGTCTAATTAAAATAAAAAAAATTATTGAATAGATTTTTTTTTCTATTCCATAATGAGTCATTTTCCTGTCAGTTGATTTTGCCAGCGATAAAAAAATTGTTTTAACCTTAACTTATTTTGGATTTTCTTTTAGGTTTTATTTTACATTTTACCTTTGAAAATAACATTAAAATGATTAAATTTAAGTAGATATTTACTTGAGCGCGCTGAGTCAGGTTGTGACACAAGTTCAGTTTTTAACGTGGGAACCCGAATGTTTTCACTCGGGCCGCTGGTCTTAGCTGGTGTAAGCTCGTCATAGCTGGTCTTGGCTTGTCCGAGCTGGTCCAGGCCGGAGCCGGTCCAAGATAGACTTGTGCCAGGTAAGTATCTGATTAAATTTAAGTATCTAAAGTTTGGTTTCACTGGAAGAAATTATAGATTCTTTTCCCGGTAGAAATATATGAAATATCAATTTAAATGAAAAAGATGTCGTGACTTTTCATAATAAATTTCTATGTAAACAAATTTATAAAAAAACTTATCTAAGTTTTTAAAGTTTTATCCGTAATTAATTCGAAAAAGGGAAAACGAATTACTTTTTTATTTTTTCCTTCTTATCATTATACACTTATTTATTGAGTTGTTATATTGCAAATAACATCTTCGATTGATACTGCGATTTCAAAATCCAAACAAACTATCCCGTAAACAAAAAAGAATCGCCTCTTAGGAGGAAAATAAAATACGAAAAAAGAAAGTTAGCTCGTAGACTATGCATAGATGAAAACGAAGAAAGAAAAAAACGAATCATATTTTTACAAAATAGCCCGATTCTTATACAGGAAGTTAAAAAGAAAGTCAGCTTGTAAAACAGACATGGATGATAACGAAAAAAAAAAAAAGAAGTAAAATGTAAAAAATACAGCCAGGACTTTATGCAGGAAAGTAAAAAGAATGTTAAGTCGTAGACGTGGGTGATAATGAAACAAAAAGTAAGACAAAATAATTTAAAATGTGCCAGGACCTCACACGGGAACATACAAAGACATACAGTCGTGGGGGATAGCAAAACAGAGAAAAAGAAAAAAAACGGAAATTATGTAAAAATAATAAAGCAGTCCTTACACAGCAACATTAAAAAAATTGTTTGCTCGTATACAAGGATAATGATGAAATAAAAAGAAATATATAAATAAATATGTAAGAACCTCACACGATGAATTACAAAAGAAAGTCAAGTGGTAAACATGGATGATTATTGAACAAATAAAGGAAAATAACAACCAGGACCTCACACGGAAAATTACAAAGAGTCAGCTCAGAGACATGGAAGATAATGAAACAAGACTAAGAAAAAAATGGGAAAAAAAACAAAAAGATAACTAGTAACTAACAGACATGGATGATAATGAAAAAGGCAAATAAAAAGAAAAAAATTCTCACAAAACGAAAATAACAACCAGGACCTTACAAATGATTTTAAATATAAGGGTTTTAGATGTTTCTTAAGAAAGCCATAGGGGTGAAGCTTGTAGAACTGAGGATTCAAGGGGAAAATTAACACTGAACAGATCTCGCTACGGTTGCGGTCTGCAAGAATACTAAGAATGTTTTTACGATTTGAGGAAACTTGTTCCTAAGTCCGTATTAATGACGTAAGCAATCCACTTATGATTAAATATAATTATTATAAACTTAATAATGTAAACAGGTTCGCCTATCGCCCGGACGGTACTCTTTCCATGTTTATTGAACAGAAGTAGAGGTTTATCCCTTGTTTATTGTTTAGGATATGGTTTCCCGGTTCTTTCTTCTATGGCCTTAATCTTTTAACTGTCTTAAACTTTTGCTGATCTGACTCATCAGTGGTTGCGGCTTTTAATTATGAAAAGCAATGAAGAATCTATCCAGGTTTGGCAGTTTTCGGGCTGCTGCAACCGACTGGTAGTAAGGTGTCTGAACTCTTTGTTAGCGCTTAGAGTGGCTACATTGATCAACAATCGCATAATATCAGGACATTTATAGTGTCATATCGTACATGGATAGGCGTCACTTTCCGGTGGGCAACCCTGAGGCCAAATTATGCTTTAGTCTGGGCCATCTTATGCCAATTTGTATTGATATAGACGATAGATAGTGATGATAGCCTACCTTTTCTCTTTCTATAGGTACTTTCATGGTAATTGTTCTGATGAACTTTCTTCTATGTCACTTAGACTTTATGAATTTAAGCACAGTCGTAGATTGTTGGCAAGGCTTCATCACTTTACAGTTGAAACGGCTAAATGTCACCGTAAGTCTTAGACTAACATTTTCTTTCCCAGCACTTCTCGTTTGTGGAAATCTCTTCTGACTTCTCAGTCAAATTTGATCTTCAAAATTTTAAATGCAATGTCCGTCGTCATCTTCTGTCTTCTTAATTCATGAACTTTTATTGTTCTCTCTCCTTAATAATTTTTTTCTTATATTCTTTCACCCGCCTCCACGTAATCCCTTGTGGATTATTGGCTTCATTGCTTTAGTTGGGGTGAAATAATTATAAAAATATAATAATTCATTCTTTCTTCTTCTTGATGTATAAAAATGATTCATAGAAAGAAGAAAACCTCGTTACTGATTCTATTTGGAATTTCCTTAGAAAAAGCATTAGAACAACATTAGAAACTGTATACGATTTCTATTCTTACTTAAGAAAGAACTGCTTTGACGGCCTGTTAACGTTGTGTAGACTATGTAGAGTGGTGTAAAAAAAAAGAAGCTGAATTGAAAAAAGAATGCTTGCACAAAGGCAAGTCGATCAAAAACGAAGACCAGCAAAGATCGATGAAAATCGACCAGAGTCAGATAACAGATTACCGCCAAAGCTTCTCCGGTCTCCAGCAGATTTTCTCAAATCCTCTTACCACATAGCGGAAAAGAGATATATTGATAGGCTGTGAGACGTCAGTTATCGATCAGAAATACCTGGTGGCATGCGAACATTAACAAACAGCACGGTACCCGGTCAAAAGTCTGCTGTAACCAGCCAACAACCCAGCACTTCTTAAAACGCTCTGGAATATCACAAAACATGCAGTAAACAGTGGGGAAGCGAAACAACAGCGATGACGTCATTGACTTTAGCGAGCTTTTGTGCCAAAGAACTAACGCCGACTCTTAAAGAAAATAACTCTCTCTCACTCTCTCTCTCTCTCTCTCTCTCTCTTTCTCCCTGTATGTGCCTGTGTGTGTGAGAGAGAGAAAGATAGAGAGAGAGAGGAGAATACAGATAAAGAAAGGAAAACAGAAAAGGAAGAGATATAACAGCGAATGTTTCTTCCTAAGAAGAGCACCAAGGATTAAGATCCGATAAATTCAAGGTGGGATAATCAATAATCAAGGAGAATGTGTTTCACCAATCATTTTTTTTTTTTTTATTGATAAGCGTTCAACATGCGCAGATAAAAAAAAATTACACATGTGCGTATCAAAACGACAAAACCAGTTTAGATCTATTTCGGAATCTGTGATTCAAGTTAACCGAACATCTGTAATCTGGTTTCTAAGATTGCTTGTCCGAAAATAACTAATCTGTAGCCTTTAAAAGCTTCTTTTAGTTTTTGCTTGTCCGTGCACAGTTAATTAGATCTGATTTTTTCTCGTTTTTTTTTTCTTTATCTCCGAGAAAATCCGCGCAGAAGAAGGGCATCTTTCGTAGCCTGGCATGGGTTTCTTGGATTTATACGAATATGATTAGCCGATCAGATTCGAAAAGGCGGATGATATTTGAGCGCTGACGGTTGAACTTTTGATGCTGACCGTGCTGGACAAAGTGGATTTTACTTGTTAATTCCTGTTAATGTTTTTTTTTTTGGCCAGGAGAAGGACTAATATTTTTTATATGTCTTAAGGGCAAGTAATTCGGTTTCTCCAAAATCTGGATATTTAACAAAGTAAGCAGAAACTTTGCCAACTTAGAGTTCTTAAGACAACGGATCGTCGTAAATAACTGTAATATTTGACCAATTCCAAAAACATATCCAAAGAAGAGACACCTTGGTTATTAAAGCGTTGTTTAAACAATGTATGCAGATAAGTGTTGGGAGTGCAGGTAGTGTAATGGTTAGCATCTTGGAAAAGGGAAATCGACGAACCAAGTTCGAATTCGGGTTGAGTTCGTTACAACCACTTTTGTAAAAACACCCTCGGGAAAGATATGAATCCGTATCTTTTCCATCTATGGGTTACAGTGAAAAACAGTGTGGGCTACATAGCCATGTCTGGTAACCAGTCTAAGAGAATTTAAAACTCATCAGCCTGAAACTGTAGAATGATTAAACATGGAGTGCAGATATTATGTCAGTAAAACAAAAACACGACCGATTTCGACCGCTGTGGATTATCCCACTGGAAAGCAGATAGAATGTTGTGGACAACATGGGGCCCTTAGAAAGTGTCATTTAAAACATATCAGGTTCCATAACAGTTATGAGTTCAATCCTTGGGTATGGTAGTGCTGTAAAATCACATCATCTGATGAAGTGAAAAACCGTACAAGTAGATATGAATGGTAGGAATTATCCTCTAAATGTGGAAAGAGGAATGAGACCAGTTTACCTCTATGGTTTAAATAAAAGCATTACATCGAAATTCCAAGAGAGTTACCGATTACAAAGGCCCCTGAAAAGAGGTTGCATCGGTCGAAACGTTATGAGCATAAAAACTATGTTGATCTGGATAGTAACTCTGATAATAATAATTCCTCTTTTTAAAAAACCCTGGCGAAAGTTTACGATGCTTGCCCCGGGAGCAATGAATTTCTGTACTGTTTATTAGAGATATGGGTTTTTTTTTTCAGGACATTACTTCTTAACTTCGGATCAGGAGTTCCAATATTTGATTAGGCCGTTTTTTTTTAAACGGGTTTCAAGACAAATAATCTTTTTAAAGTTCAATCTCTAAATTGATTAAAAACAATAAAATATACTGTATATACTTGTGTATCATGTGACATTTGAAGACCTAATTTTGAAGCTAACTTTAAGAGGGTTGCATCATACATGCGATATAAAATTAGCGTATGTATTACTCGACCTGGCTATATCGTTAACCAAACTATATATCTATTTACTATAGTCAAAAAGTACAGCTGTGTTTAAAATAACGCATGATTTTGATAAAACTGATGTTTTATTTAACTGTATCCAAAAATAATGCATGTAATATTCACATATTAGTATCGTATTATAAAACAGAAACAGCAAATATGAATCTTTTCCATTTTTAACGTTTATAAATTGTTTAGCTGTTTCTCGTTCGGTTGTTTATGTTTACGCAACGAGTATAGCGTTACTAACGATACTTTTATCCTTCTCTTTTACTTTATTAAATTAACTAAAAGATGGGATATAGAGATACAAGAAAAGAAGTTAGTCTATTGTAATTTGATCTCTCAAAAAATGAACTCGCATGACACACGAGATACATAATAAAATTATTTTTTATAAGTGAAAATTTGGGGGTCGCACGATACGCGAGATCGCGCGTTACACACGTATATACGGCAATAACAGTACCGATTGAAAATTTCTTGATTTCCAATTTAATTTTTCTAATGTATTTTAATTCTTAAGTAATTGAGGGAATAAACTCTTTGAGATTTCCACGACTGTAAGATACTTGTGAAAATTCTCCTACTGAATCGTCAAATATTTGAGCTTAGCATCTTTAGTAAAATATTACAATAACAGTCATAACTATGGGTGTAGGTCATTATTTAATGACCTACATCCATACAAATGAAAAGATTCAAAATTGACAAATGTTTTCCATTTCACTGAGGCAGACGTTAAACGCGTGAAGGCATTATGGCCACTTCTGTTTTACAATTTTTTTTTTCTTATCATTACGTAGCCTTTCTTTCTCTCAGTAAAATCAAACTGAATCTCAGATATATCTTTATCTTCCGTCTTCGTTTGCAATTAAAACGCTATGTGTCATTATTTATGAAAGGTAATAGCATGGCGTTAACGTCCGTTCAAACTAACTTTCTGTTGTATTGTCGAGGTGAAAGATACACAGAGAGAAATGTGTGCTTGATATATTTATTCAGCGCCAGTACGGATACATACAAAAACAGAGAACAATAAGTTACCAAACAATTAACAAGACAACTTAAAAGGAATATAGGAGGGTCAAATGTTGTATAGCCAAACGAACTAAGATCAGTCCGAATATTAATAAGATTAGTATCAACTTATTAATCAACTTATTAATCAACTTATAAATCAACTGTTAATCGTAGACTATTTAAGGCTATGAGTCTGGCCATCTGAAGGGATGCTAGCTACAATACGACACTTACAAATAAACGAGGGAAAGAACCAGAATTAGGATATTCGATTGAATAGCAAACCGGCCCGGAACTATAACCTTTAAATGGATTGTGGGATGTTTGTCGGAAAGGGTTTCCAGAGGGAAAAAAAAAATGTAAACAAAACAGCAATAAAGCGAGAGCGGAATTCCATCGACATAATATAGCGACATAATTTTAGAAAAAAAAATTCCATATTTCATATTTTGTCAAACATCCTTTCTTTTCGCCGATTCATCAAGTACTTTCTTAGACATTTAAGGAATGTAATTCTGAACATATTTTAGAACCAGGATTTTCCAAACAGGTGTCAGAAAAAAAGCAACTGGGCATCTTAATTTGTGAACAGAACAAGAAAAGGCAATGTTAATATTACGTAAAAAATGTCCATAACATTTTTGAGTGCCACAGTGATATAGTTGAGCATGTGTTATGAGTTGCTGTGTTGAGGTACAACGATGATCTTTTGAATATATGCTAATATGGACATGTTACCGTGTTTTGCTGTCAAGTACTCGCCCCCAAAATTTGTAAAAGTATTTTTGGATT